ACTAGCTCACTTCTGGCCATGTCATTGTTCCTCAAGTAAGCATCTCTGAACGTGTGCACACTTCTGAGCAATCTATCGTAAATAGTAATGTGCATGCGACAAACCCAATTGCCTTATAATGTGTGGAATTCCCCTCACATCTTCTTTCATTATGACATTTTTTGTTCTCAGGGCTGTGACAAGCCATTCCCAACGACCACATTATAGGAAGTCTGATGCCCTTATTTGCTTATCTGTCTTCAAGTCAGTCATCGGTTTTGTTATACACCTTTTCAACATTTTGACATGTGTGAGGGGAATACTATTTTTCATGCAGTCTCATCAGTAAACAAATGGCATGCTCGAAAATGGCTTGTAAGTAGTGAATTTTACAGCGATACATGACGATATATTTGCATTTTGTTTCCCTTCATTCCAATTAATCAAACATTCATTTGTTCTTGCACAGCTCTAGGCCTTGTAAGATGGTATGATTGTGGGGCAGCTCCTCTTTTTAAAGAATAGTTCTGAGCATTCCCTTCACCACCTCCAGATTGCAAAAAAAGAAACCATTTAAATGTCTGATATTTTGGAGGGGTTGAATGCACTGAATCGTTAAGTACCACCTTGTTCTATGAAGGAGAAGATATACATGAGACAGACACAACAACCATGCTCCAAATAAAATTAACTGATATGAAAGTGACCACTGCTGTCTGCCCAGATACAAACACTTTGTGTAGGCAAGTTTCTCTGCTATATTTTATGATGCAAACAGGACCATGTTCTAAAATAAATCTGCACTTGCAAAAGTAATAACAACATACTTATATTTCAGTAAGAAACAAATGTACCTTAAAGTCAGTATTTTTATAGGTATTGTAACCATTTATCTACATCTGGCCCTAAACCTTCAAGTTCAATAAATCCAATATATAGCATAGCATAAATGGATGAGAATGATAATTACAGATGAGAACACAGTTTTCTGGTATCAACAAGGACATGACTTTAGGTATTCATGCAGTAAGCTGTAATTATCACAGATGGGAAATGTGAACATGTGATTTTTTTTCCAGCGTAAAGGGAGGAAACCAAGCTTAGTGACAGAGCACATGCTTTGCTTGCAGAAGGTACCTATTTTGACTGTCACTTTGATCAGATAGCAGGTATGTGAAAGACTTCTGCTCAGGATCCTAGAAAGCGGCTGCAAGCAATAGCTGACATGGGTGATCATGGACAAACAGTCTGAACTTAAATACAGCAGGTTCTCAAAACTGGGTGTCGAAGCATTCGGATTCTGCACGGTAAAACGAACTGTATGCCTTGATGTGCATGCATGTTAATTCAGATGCTCTTGAAACCTCTAATGCTAATTAAGCCTTGGGGGAGGGGGTGGCCTCTCTAAGTCAGTGACTTGCTCCTGTGGATCTATTCATTCCCTTGGCAAATGTGGCAAATGGTTAAAGAAAGAGGGAGCATAAGCAGTATGAATCCTCATGGTATGAATGAAGATGCTACAGGAACTGGACCACATGAAGCTTCTCAAGATTGTAGAAATTTTTATTTCCTAGAAATCATTTAAAATTTATAATATTCAGGGTGTATCTACTCCATCACATGTGTGACACGCTTTTCCCAGTGAGGAAACACCAAGGTCACATTGTGAAAGTTAAGGGTTTCTGAAACTGCAGTCATCAGAGGAAATATTTCCTGCCCAGATTTAATCATAGAACTGTATTTCACCCTTAAACCTCAAAAGTGTTAGGGTTTTTAAAAATATATTTTTACTTTTATTTGATTTTTACAATTGCTTTACAAAGCCAAACATCAGCAAAAAACTGCTGCGAATACAAAACAAGAATAGAAGCACAAATGCACTTTTAGAATGGATGAGAGTAAAGATAACACACTTTCAAGTCCACTTCAAGGGTTGCTAATTCTAGATGTGGTTCTTAACAGGAGGAGGCAAACCAAGAAGTGTGCATCTTGCAAATATGCAATGGGCAGCATTGACTAATTCTGCCACATTACAGGCAGGCTATCCAGTGTCCCCCAGATGTTTTAGATTACAGCTCCCACAATATTTGAGCATTGACCATGCTACCTGGAGCTGAAGGGAACTATGGTCCAAAGCATCTTTATATCAGAATTGGCCAGGCTAGAAAATAACCCGTGCAAAGCCATAAAAGCAGCCATGCCTCTCTGCTTGGCTTTGTAGGAGAATTCCTTTATTTAACTTCTTTCATGAGGTGCTCCAGCAGTGCTCGCAGCCCATACTTTGGAGACTACTGGCCTTGAAGCTGTCAAGAACAGTCTTTTGGAGTCATGGCGGCTGTTTTCTCCCAGGATGCCACGAGACTGTTTTGTTCTTGTGCGTATCTGCAGCCATGCTATATAAAGCTAACCTACTGCTGCCTGTTCACTGAGATTCTATTATGAGCTACAACTTGCATAATCCCTGACCACTAGCCATGATGGAAGTTGTAGTCTGAAATATCAGAGGGCCACCATGTTACCTACCCCTGAGATAGCCTAGCATGATGAAGAATATCATTGGAATTCCAAACTGGAATTTTGCTGTTTGCTGGGAGAAGCTCCAATATTTCTAGGTTGCCCTTCAGCAAAAACTTCCAAAATTGCTTAGAAGCAATTGAGATCCTACAGTAATCATACAGACAAACCACAGAAAGCATCAGCTAAAAAGCAAGCACAGAATTCAGTGGAGTGGGTAAAAGGACAATACAAGACATACAGCCAACCTGCTTATACTTGGTATTAGCAAGCTCAAAAAAAGAGAAAGAACTTGGCTGGGTCAAGCAGCAAAAAATAGAGCATCAATATAGCAGATGGCCAACTGTTTGCCTTAGCTATTCTACCCATAAATTGTCCCTTCTAGGCAGGGTGATAGTTGGGATCAGTTTAAAACCATTCAGTCTATTGGCTTTGATCTGTTCCTCTGTGGGTTCAGTCATGTGAGACACAGAAGATTCAAAAGAAGAGTGTAAGGAAAAAGATACAATTCTTGAGTCTTTCAGTGGGAATGGCAGGGAGAAGTCGAGAGCTTGCAAGTTAGCCCAGGTTTCATTTTCTCCACCTTAAGTGCACAAGTGACACACATGTTCAACAAGAGACCATAAAAAGGGGGAAGCGTTGGTACAAGCAGTGCCGCCACGACAAGGCCCTTCCCCATAGGCACTGGTTATAAAGGAGAAAAAAGATCCAAAAATTATATAGATCTGAAGCAGTAAGGGAGTTGTTTCCCCTTGGTATGGCCTTACACTCTCAGTTAACATGGATAGGGCTTGTGCCATGATCTGTCCAGTGGACGCATTCATAAAGAAGACAACACTGTTGCAAGATATCATACTGTTCTTCCATCCATCCTTGATTATGATTGGGTAGATGTGGGATCAGATCACAGGGATCAAACTCCCACACTGTTTTGGAACAGTGTATTGATTGGGTAATGTTCAAGTCAAACAGAGGTAGTAAGAACTTTCTCCAGGGGCCTTTCTCTGCTCTGATTCTAACAGGAAAAAAACCCCCTGCCATATACCACCGAACTGCCAGCAAACAAAGCATCATTTAGAAAATACCAGGCAGTGCAATAACTGAGATGCCCAACAGATCTGTCAATCTCATTTGCCATTTCAGTAAGATGGCTGCAATCTTGAAGAAAGATGGCAAGATCTAATTTCAGTTCTGGAGTTAGTCACCTGGCAGGCACAGGAAAGACAACTTTATAAAGACTAAATATCAGCTCAAGTGAAATCTAAATAAACAGACCTCTTCTCCCACACCTTTAAAAGAAGGCGTGTCTTAGAATGTGATGTGCATGGTACCAAAAGAATAAGCACTTCTATCACACTTGTCTAGGCCATGCCTTCCTAGAGACCCAGCAATTAGAGAGAGAGGTCTTCCTGAAAACCTGTGTTGCCCAGTTGACTGGAAAGTGAGGGGCATGGAAGCAGTGAGGCCAGACGGATGAGAGGTGTTGGGACCTGTAGCCACCAGCTTGTGACAGATGGCTGGATAGGATTTGGAGTTACAAGTCTTGGCAGAACAGCTGAAGGAGGTGCAATTAGCTTGGGGAAGAGGGGTGGGGAAAGCAGAGAACCCAGGACAATACAGAGCTGGCATTTGAAATCAGTTTACTCAGTACAGCAATGCATCGGATGATGGAAGCTTACGGGACCCTTTGATGTATCTCAAGGCTCAAAGCAGAGTATATCCTGCAGCTCAGGCTGATGAGCAAAATCCTATAGTGGATAATAGGGTCTTCAAACTGTATTTAGGAGAACCTCAGCAACAACAAAGCCCCTTGGTGAAAACAATAATAAAAGAAAAACTTTCCAGAGAATCTTCCCCCCAAATTTGCAGCAATGATGGAAAATCAAAAAATTACTTTCCATATAGGTATATGCTAAAGCCTAAAAGGCTCATTATGTGTGCCTTAAAGCATGCACAGAATATTCTACAATGCGCAGGGACTTCTTAATCAAAAATTCACTGTGGGAAGTGCTCTATGAAGATAAAAGTTGTGTGTGCATGTGTTTGAGGAGAGTTCTTTTAACATGGGATAGACACTGTTTTAGAAGAGGAAACAGAAATTCTGCAGCCCTTCACAAGGAATATAAGAGAATGCATGAACTACCTCAGAGTCCTTTACAATGCTTCCACCACCCTTGGATGGAATTGTTTCCCAACCTGAGGGGCACGGAACTGAGAGAAACTGTTGACTAAAGACCAACTGTATATGAGGGAGCATTAGCTCTATAAAAAGGCAGACTGCTTTCCATTTGTATTAGTTTGCTTGTAATGTTGCTTCAACAAGTTTAGGATACCCTTTCCTGCATTAGCCCCAGTTTGCTTTGTCTGTTTTAATTTTTTTTCAATGATAACACATTCTATATCTTCATCCAGCTACTGCAAAAATGCATAATTTAGCAGCTCTTCCTCATTTCTGACAAGGTAATAAAAGAACACAAGAACCAAAATGGATATTGTAAAGAACTTACTGCTGCAGTTCTGTCTACTTCACAACGGCTGCTTAAAATGAAACAGGCCTCCGCGTCATCCATCCTAAAATGTGAAAATTTTAACAGAACATATTTAACATTTCTGTTCCACTTCTAAGGACAACCTAGTCAAAACTGGCTTTAAATGTCCCCTTTTGGTCAAATGCACATTCTCAGCTTGCAGAAACAACCAGTATTAACTAGGGAACACTAATATCTAATCAAACTATAACTAGTAATGCGAACAGAATAGTGCATTATAAAAGCATTTAGAAAAGAAAAACTTGAAATATTTGTTTGTTAAATTTCTACATTAAATTACATTTAAATTACATTACATGAAATATTTAAAAGCACATATCCTAGTATATTTTCCTGTCCATTTTTTATTCTTTTAAGCATTTAAAGCCCAGCCTTCCCATTAAAAAGCTCAGGGTGGCTTACAACAACTTATTAACACTGAATAAAAATAAAATCAGAATATACTAAAACCAGAATACAACAAACACAAGGCAGCCAGTGAGAGCAACAGGCACCTTCCATCAATAGCAACAGTTCAGTGCAGTGAGTTAACAGACAGATGAGGAGGAGATCCTAAAGATATGTAGAGTGCAGATGAGATGAGGGCATATGTTGGGTCTATGTAACTCTGAGTAGATCTGCAGTCTCCATAAACAGCTGTATTTGCTGCACCATCTTCAACTAGGAATAGGTACTCCTTGCCAGAATTGAACTAATCTCTACTCCCAGGCATCCATGCTCAAGGCTAGGTCCAGAGCACAATCGCATCGTCCCATCTAATATGGATACCCAAGAGTTTAGTTCTGTTTTTGCCTTGGCCTCAACATATAACTGCCCACAAAGACATACAGTGAGGTCACAGTGCACCAGCCATGATTCCAATGGAGCCAAATATAAAGAGCACATAACTTTCTTACTGAGGCAATCTGCTGGCACACTAAGTATTCTGGGCCTGAAGTTCTGGTGATGATCTGGCAAGTCCCTCACTGTTTGGAACCAAGATATGTGAAGTGCTGTCTCAGCCATTTGAGTTTGCCCCTGTGCAAATATCTTCATCAGAGGTCCCTTCATAGTGTCCTAAAGCCCCCAAAAGTGCTGTTAGTTGGTACCCAGCTGGAATCCAGTTAGTTGGTACACAGGAAAGAAGCTTTTCCATGGTTGTGCCCAGGCTCGGGAACGCCCTGTTAGAGAGAGCAACCTCACCACCTCACTTGCTAGACGGGCACCCTGCCCATAATCTCTCCAAAATTAAATCTCATCAGGCTCTAATGGGTATCATCAGTTGTGAAAGCAATTTGAAAATTGCCCTCCACCTCCTTCTTGAGCCTTGCTGAATCTCTATCAGCTCCATGCAACTTGTCCTCTTATCACCCTTTTCTGTGAAACTATCACAAGTGAAATAGCTAAAATTACTTTAAAAAGAGAAAGACATGAATGGCTTCAAAACAAAACTCACACAGCTGTTTTTATAGCCACTAATTTTCTTTAGCCTAGCACAGAATACTTTTCTGTACAGAAGCTAGATAATAATATGATAATTGAGATAATGAGCAACAAAAACTGGTTCATTTTTTTAAACGGTAGCCAAAACATATCAAACATTTCATTTACTAGAAGGGCTACTGTGTGGTCTTTTACTATATCTGCATTAGAAAAAGGGATATACATGTTGCTGCTTAGCAACTTCCCCGTTTATCTGGCTCCATTTCTTAGAATATGGTCTATTAAGCTCTCCCTATGTTGCCTTCCATAGAAAGCATTAAAAAAAAGCTGTTGGGAAGGGTGCATTCAATTACATGTTTTGCAAGGAGAAAGGTACATTTTATAGCTGTTTGGCTTTGGGGTTATTATGAACAAAACTCCATTATTACATTCAAGGGATACCACATTTTAATTCAAGCTAACCTCCTAAGTCACAGAAAACAACAACCTATTTTCTTTTTTGCAAGATAACTAAAACCTACAGTGGCTGGAATTCTTATTTCTTCAGCAGCCATTTTCAGGCCCAACTCAACATATTTAAGCTCTAGGCAAAGTACAGTGTTCCCTTCTTCAACCCTACAATAATTCCATTAGATTTTGAATAGCATAAAAAGGGTTGGGAAATATAGAGATGGGAAAGATGAGATTCCAGGAAGACTTGTTACAACCTGGAATGCTGCTGCATACTTAAAAGAGCCATAGTGGAAGCCCACAGGTCAGCCTCAAGGGACACTTTTCAATAAATCTGCATGTGCTGATGAACAAACATGCATTTAGAACATAAACAATAGTGAAATTAGAAATCTCGCTGTGGCAGGGAACACTGTGATCTTGACATGCAAAAGATGCATAAGTTTGTACTTGCAATTTTTCCATTAGCTAAATAACATTTAAGATCATCAGCTTAGCTGCTGATTATCCTAAGCAAATCATTCCCTTTGAAGATATGACTGACGTCTGTTATTGCTACCAGCAAGTGTTTTTCTATGTTCTTTTGTCTCTGTACGCTGAGTATCATCATCATCATCATCATCAAAATGCAGTAGGCATAGATGCACAAGCAATAAACCTCTTTGTGAGGGGAGGGGGGAGGAGATGAGATGAGTGGGTAACATCATCCCAGTAATATAATAAGGCATTTTAAAAGTAATGCCAGTAATGTTAGACTCTTAAAAGGCTCAGGCCGTGAATTCACGGAGACCTACCTGACCGTAAACCCCACTGAATGTACTGGACTAGGTGGCACTTATTTCTGAGTAAACATGCAAAGCGTTTGACTGAAAATGCCCATGGAACTTTAAAAGAGGCCAAAATGCAGTCACGAGATCAACATGGTTTAGACTACAGTGCAATCTAAGACATATTTCCTAGAGGTAAATCCAACATAACCTGAAGAGTTCTGGTTCTTTTCTGTACAAGTGGCACAGGACAGAAGTGGAGCCTTTCCAGATGAGGTAATTCATAACCACTTGATCTAAACTGGTTGGAGAAGGTCAAATCCTTTGCAAATCCTTACAGCTCTGTTCCTCTGCATGTTTACACAGAAATAAGTCTTGTAGATTTTGACAAGACTCACTGCGATGTACTTATGCACAGGACTGCAGCCACACAATCTCAGTGAATTTACAGAAGAGCCTTATCACTCCGAGATAATTTGGTGAAGGACAGGGAAACGGCTTACATTGTTTTCCCTTCCTATTTAGCAAAGGTGAAAGGATTTCTTGCAGTTGGAACTGTGTCTCATCAGACCACTTGCTGGAAGACTACCAGGTGGTACCAAGTGGGCCCTTTAAGAACTGGGACTGGGATGAGAGCATGGGGGGAAGGGGTGTTAAAAAAGGGATAAAAAACAAAAATGAAACACACACACATGCACAAACATTTGGGCTGGCAACAGGTCCTTCCCTCGGGACAATATAAAATCTTTTACCATGCAACTAAGAAGAAGAGAGATTCAGGCAGCATTTGAGTGTAGGAGCAGGAGCTGAAATAGCAGTGGGGAAAAGACACACGAAACAGAAGTAACTGCCCCAGAAAAGAAGGGAAGGGAGACAGGGGTGGGTGGGAAAGGACTTGTTTCATTAGGAATCTATTGAACTCCACAAAAGGCTAACAAAAATATGTTTTCCAGAGCTAAGAAGGGGCAGTTCATTGGAATGGGAACACAAAGGGGGCTGCTGCCATTGAAAGATCTTTGGAGCAATGCCTTCCCTGCCAGGACGCTGGGGTCCTGAGCCTTAGAGGGGTGAACGCAACCGTAGCAACTGTAGCGTGGACATGGCACAAGGGCAGGAGCTGATGCAGTGGCAGCAACGGAGAGGGGAGATGGCGTGCAGCTGATACCGCCAATGAAAGACAGATGTGGACATCCATCCATTGAGGGGCCTGTTCCCTGTAAGCAAGAAAACTGCCTCAATGGCCAGTCCTAGACGGAACCCTGAACATTTTATTTATTTATTTTTCAATTCATATCCTGCCTTTTTCCTACAAAGGGCTCAAGGCAGCTTACATCATTCTCCTCCTCCATCTTATCCCCACAACAACAACCCTGTGAGGTAGCTTGGGCTGAGAGTCTGTGACTGGCCCAAAGTCACCCAGTTGGCTCCATGGCTGAGCGGGGACAAGAACCCAGATCGTCTTGAGTCCCAGTCCCATGTTCTTAATCACTGCACCATACTGGCTCTGTTGCCAGTTTCTTGCCCTAAAGGCATAGGTAGCTAGATTAAGATCATTTTCCAGAAAAACTGAGCACTATATGCTGTCAGTGTAAGTCATGCTGTAGGATATCAGTCTTTATTGAGCAAGATCACCCAGTACTCTCAGCTAGATGTATGCCTAATTTATTTTTAGTGCAAATGTGATAAACATATGGGAAGGTCCTCCTCGCTTGAAACTCAATGATAGGTGTAAACAGGTTAAGGAATGTACAGACTTTATTGAAACGATTCCATTAGCATCTCACAGACTATCAGATGCTTTTTGTTCTTAGTTGGATTGATGGAATCAGATTTTTCACAAATGCATTTGTGTGCATTTGCAAAAATTCACCCTTTCACAAATTTCCACGTCTGAAAATGCATAATCCCCCATCCCCCAAACTCTGCATGTTTCTTCCCCATTTCCCTATGGGGGGAAATGCACATTTTTGGTTAGGGGTTTTTTTTAATCATATTTTTAGATGATTGATGGAGAGTTAAATAGAAAAACAGTCTGCGAGTCTGTGGTTATCATGCAATTCAGGAAAAAGTTGCAGAATTTATAGGCCATATTTATGGAGATTTGAAATCATATGAATCTGTTATGGGTTTTTCCAGCATTCCTATCCTTTCAAGATATGATATCTACAAGCTCAAAAAAGACAAGGAAGTGTTCCTGCATCAAAAACCATATAAAGTTGAAATGGTTAATAACTAGAATTACAAAAAAGCACACAATCATTTCAAATTATAAGCATTGATGGCCTTACCAAGGGCAGATAAAAAACCATTCTGCCACCTCCTGGTGCCACTTTCACAAAAATGAAATAAATAAAATAAAATAAAATAAAATAAAATAAAATAAAATAGGGCCATCTGATGATGTGATCATTAGGTCAAATTTAGCTTGAGAAAAACTGGATTTGACGTAGTTACTGCTGCATACTGAGATTTGAATTCTGGTGGCAAAGCATATTGTGGGTGGATGGGTGTGTGGATGTCATAAACAGTGGTGGCCCACAAAATTCTATGGTGCAGTATAAATGGAAATATGGCCCCTAAACACATTTGTCTGTGGATGAAAATGGCCCCTTGAGACCTTCCCCCACATACACAGAGTTGCCCACTTCTGGACAGTATCAATGATATATAGGATTTCAAACAGGTGCCTTCTTTATTTCCTCCCATCTAGTTCTGATATATGAAACATTAAAATGACAAAACTGAAATGGAAAGGAATGAAAAATAAAACTCTGATATTAGTATGCATACTTAGCTCTTAGCAGGTCCTGATCCTTCAGTGCTGAACCTTGCAGATAAATAACTCTTTGAGACCACATTGGGATTTGCAGTACTCGGCGCACCTGAATATCCACCTCCGTGGGACACAAGATAACCACATAATAGTCCTGTGACAAGGTGGGAGCAGGATTGAAAAAGAGCACAGAGAAAGTGTTATATATGCACATTTTTGTGAGTGGAGCACTGTTTAGTATTTACCTTGGAGAAGTTGGGGGAGAAGGAAGGGAGGGGGGAAAGGAAGGAGAAATAACTTATTTTAATTTTCAGTTCTCTAAAGAAAAAGGAAATGTCTGTGCTATTTACTACCACTGTGATTTTGCTGATGCCAAAGCTGCCCAGCAAGATACCAAAGTACACAGCTTGGAATCATGCTGTGATGAATTTAAATCACTTCCTCTAGCAAAGCATGTTGAAGCATTACATGTTTTGGAAAACAGTCTGGTTTTGCAGCAGAAAACATTCGTTGGGTTACCAGAGACACCCCACGGCTCACAAAAACATCAGGGCAGGCACTAAACAAGTTCTCACAACAGGAAGCGTCAGGTGCTCTTATCATTTTTAAACCTTTGCGGAGTGTGGTTTCCCCCCCCCAAAAGTGCTTCTGGATTTAGCTAAATTCATATGTATATAAATAGGCCATTCTTATGAAGCTAGCCAAGGAGACTCTCTCTGAACATAACATTTCAGAAGACAATCTGCAAGAGATTTCTGCCTGAATTGATATTCTGGTCTGCTTCACTTACCTGGAGCCTGGGATGAGCGTAAAACTCATTTAGGAAATCCATAAGCAGGTCAATTTTAAGTGAGCTGACACACAATACCACATGTTTTTCTGTCTGAGCTCTGTGTCGGCTGTAATTTCCACCTGATTTTTGTCTTTCCATCCACAAATATGCGAGCTGTTCAAACTGCAATGAAAAGGGTGGGGGGGAATCATATATGAACACAAAGGAAGTGTGTCTGGATACCCTGGACCTCAAAGCATTAAAGAGCCAGATAAATTATATGGTCCAGAGCTTTCCATTTGCAGTGATGTGATCTGAGATAGCTTGTTCATATATACAGAATATGTACTGATTCAGCACTCAGTGACTGATGTCCATGCATGAATGAACTGGCAGAAAAAGCTAATATACACACCCCAAGAAAGACAGAGATAAATTCCTCCATTACTGGAGCACTTCAGACTTGCAGTAGAGATTTCTATGCTCCCTTCCAATTAAAAAACTTCTTATCAGTGGGAAGCTAACTTGCCAGGGAGGCTGCAATCATGCCTGCCTGCCATAAGAGTGAACAGGAATCATGACATTATCTGGAAGTCAGAGAGCACTTGTATAGATATCATCTTGGGGACTAAGAGTACTATTCATAATGTTGAAACTACTCAAAATCAGCGCTCGTCTTTACCATCTGACAATACTCATCCTTTATGATTCTGGCCCAAGTCTCCTGTTACTGTGTAAATCAATTTTATTTAATTGCATTCTGTGTGCATTCTGTTCTGCTTGTGTTGACCAAAGCCTGACATGGGTCACATGGTACCAGGTCCCTGGTTGAGATACCTGAGAATTTTGTTCTTCATTCCAAGAGCACCTTTTAGGATAAAATATGCACAAAAATGCATATTTTAGGATAAAATGCAAACTTACTTGAGGCAAAACACATTGAACAGCAACAGGAGTGTTTGTATGCAAATCCAATGTACTTTTTGAAAATTGCTTGTGAGTTTAAATGGATGGATGCCAAAACAACAGAACTGACATTTTATTGTTTACTGAATTTATATCTCATCTTTATATCCCCCAAAATAAATAAATAAATAAATAAATAAATAAATAATAAATCCAAAGCCGCCAACAAAAAAAATCCAGATTCAAAAGAGAACCTTAATTTGGAAATATAAAACAAAATGCATTAAAAACCAATTGCAAACACAACAGTAGATGAAATACACATCAACTGATTAAAACCCCCTTTGGCAACAGATTAGCTTATATACCAAAGGTCAGTCTTAGTCTGCAAAGAGTGCACTAAGGAAGGACCCATGTTTCCTTCCTCAGTGGTGAACCCCAGAATTTGGAAGCAACCACCAAGTGCCCCCCCCATGTCTCCACCAAATGTTCGTTTGATGGCAGCAGGAGCAAGAGAAGTGCCTTCCCTCCAAAGATTAAGACTCACACATGCCTGTGTGGGATAAGGCAGTCCTTCAGGAAATCTGATCCCAACCCATACAGGACTTCATCACCAGCACTTCGAATTGTGCCCAGTAACAGACCGAGTAGCCAGTTAAGCTAGCATAACAAGGAATGCTCCTTCTCACTGTAACTGGGCCCAGGAAGCATCTCAGCTGCAGCATGCTTAAAAATTGCTTGGACCAGATTACAGTAGTCCAGACAGGATGCAACTAAGGTACCTGTGACTGCGGCCACATCAGGCATCCCTAGGAAGGGACGCCTTTGGTACCTAAGCATCAGCTGTGCAGTCAAACTGGCCACTATGATCCAGGTTCAGGACTCGATCCTGGAGATACAGGACTGGAAATAGGCCGGTATGTCCATGCCTAGGTGCAGGTATGCCATCAGTGAAATCCCATGGAACCTCTTCAGGGAGAGCTGCTGAAGTCATCTGTGTTTCCTTTTATGTCAGAATTTGATTTTCCCAGTCATTTTAGCTTTTATTGTGACATTATTGTAAGTTTCTCTGAGAGCTTCAGCTCAAGCTGCCAATAAACATCATAAAAACTAAAAAGATTTAATTGGGTGATTGTGGATGAATCAGTAACATTGCATTGCCCATTCTTCTTGAGTTGGAGTAATGACTCTTATATTTTATTGTAATGGTGAAATAAAGATTGCAAATTGATGTACTATGGCAGTTATTAATAATTGTTTACAATCTGTGCCTCATTTCATAAAACCATAAGAAAAGCCCTGCTGGATCAGAGCCAGGGCATGTGTGAGTGTGTTTTTGTGTGTGTGTGTGAGAGAGAGAGAGAGAGAGAGGCAGTTTTTCCCCAAGTAGTCTTGAATACAAATGGATATAAGGAAAACTACAGAGAGAGGTGGGGGGAGGAAGAGAGGGCGGAATTAGATGAATTTACAGTTCAATCTTATACATGTCTATTCAGTAATAAGAGTCAGTGAGTTCAGTGTTACTTATCCCTAGGTAAGCATGTCTGGAGTTTCAGCCTTAAGCAACAATTTAGACTCATTCAAAAAATAAAGCAAACATCTAGATTCTTAGCTGCAGAAAAGCAGACACGTGACTTCTTCAGACATGAGTTTGGAAATCCTCTTTTTGGGGTCTACATAAACTCTCACTAGCAAACAGGAAACCAAGAAATTGTATTTGTATATAATGAAGTTAGAAGGAATTTGGTGAATTGGAAAAATGCAAATTCAGCATTTAGCCATGGCAAAACATTCAAACAATAAATAAATCATTATGTAAAGGTTTCGATGATGAAAAAAAAGATTTTTTTTACCTGAATTGGTAATACTACAAGGGCAACGCAGATCATAATGACAACCAACAGTTTGGAAGGCCAGATCTTGGGAGTTACATCCCCAAAGCCCACCGTGGAAAATGTCACTATGCAGAAATAAAGGGAGTCAAAGAGAGTCAGCCGGTTCCCTGCACGCTCCAGATGTTGAATTCCACAAATACTATGGAAAGAAAAGACTTGATTAAAAAAGACAAAAGCTGTCACTAAGCAAATGAATACAGCTATGACAATTTAGCTCGATCAATTGATATGCATGATTGCATTCTTACAATCAAGAGAATGTTTTGCAATTCACAATAATGAGTTCCATGAGCATCTCTTCATGCCAACTGAAGAAGAATTCTGTGTATCTCAAAAGCTTGCATTTCGACATCATTTCATTTTACCTCTATAAATTCACTGGCACAGTTACCAAGTTCTCCAGCCAAAAATATTAGGGATGTGTGGAAAAGTGCATTTACTATTCCATGGCTTATTGCCTAATATATGGATTTAAACCCCCATTTTAAATATCCCTGCATGGTTACTTCTGCAGATGAGAAATGTTGCCATTATCTGTTTATTTCCCTAACTCTTCCAGGCAAGATGCAGAATTCCAGTAGAAAGATCGACAAATTGAGTGAAAAAAAAAATAATAGCAGCCACTAAATGCAAGTAAACATGACTCTTAAGCATGGACATGGATATGGATCTAGTAAGCTGGAACCATTTGCAAACTTATTTCATTGGTAAGCTCTTACTTTACTAAATGCAGATGACAGATGGTGTGCTTTCAAAAGTAGACAAACTATATTAGCAATTTTTCAACAATTCTTTGAGATTGCCTCCTAACTTTGCATTTGGAACTGCTAGCTAACTGTGTTAGATAGTAAGATGAAACTATGCAGGACTGATTAGCATATGCATGTGGGCCATTTCAATAGGACAGCATATGCTGAGTTATCACAGCAAGTCGTAGATGAATGTGTGAACTGTTTGCATCAGAAAGTATTAGCTAGAATCCAGACTTCTTGTACCCTTCCTAGTGAAGCTCACAATACCATCACCCACAATGTTCCAGGGGGAAACCCCATCTCCTCCCAGTCCGATGTTTGGGGCCATAGGAAGCTGCAGGGAGACAGGGAAATCACTGCTTCCCTCCTTTTGCCTCTGGGAGTGTCCAAAGACATTGCGTTTGAGGCATCATGACAACTCTGTAGAATTTGCTTCACTCAAGCAAGCCATCCTTTATGGCATGACTATAAAGGTTTATGGAATGACTATAAAGGAGATTCTTTCCAAAGAATTGCAGTTCACCAGAAAACACAGTGGTAGCATATAGCAACCCTTTCCCTAAAGCACATCAATTCTCATTTCTCCATACATGCCAACGTATTGTGGGGAGGGACTATAATTCAGGGTAATGTACTTTGCATGCAGAAGGCCTCAGTTCCGTTCCAAGCATCTCCAGTTAAAGAACGCCAGGCAGCAGGTAGTTCTCTGACCTGAGATGGTTCAGTCATGGGATGGCCCAGCAAACACCACCACACAATCTGGAATAGCTCTGTTGCAGCAGGATGCATTTTCCTTGGTGTGTGGGTTTGGTTCAGTGGATCCTGTTAGTCCTTGATATATGCAGCACACCACCAAGAAGCAGCTGTGGGGAAGCACCATCTCTGGTTTACCCCACTGCTACTGTCAAAAGTGGAGGTACAACCAGTACTGTTTCAGTGACTGGTTGCTGGAGCTCCCTGTTCAGTCTTCTGCCTGAAAACTCCTGGTGATGAGGTCTACAACATGTTTGATTCTTCAACGCCATCACCACCCAGCATGGCTCCATTCAACTTCCAGCTTCAGAATGTTTAGTGAAATCCCCTCTGAGCAAATGTATCTAAGCTGTATCCCTTCATTGTTGTATCTGTATCCCTGAGGGGCTGTATCCCTTCAGCCAACAATGATCTCTATTTTTTCCCTACCTATTTTTTCCTCACTAAACTTTCAACTGCCAATCATCTTTGTTGACTCACCTGACCAATCCAAGCAAAGGTAGCACTTCTTTCCCTAGACATCTTCAAGTGGCCCTACTAGGTTACATTATAGTATCTCTTGAGATGACTCAAAGGATGCAAGCACAGACAAATATCAATATAGCATTTTCACACAGCTCAGACCTGATGATCATAAAGATTACAAAGCTTTTCCCACAGCACAAGGCCAGGCATTATTTGGAATGGAAGAGGAAGGTATGTTGCAGCTTGAATAATATATTGTTTGCTTTTGTCATCCTTTCCCCAAGAAGCCTTTTAGCAATTCATTTAGAATCCAAATGAGAGGAAACCTGGATCTAGCTAACAGTTTGCATTTGCATTTATACCATGCTGCTAAATTTAATTAAGCAATTCTTTGCCTAAGTCAAGCTTGGTTACCTACGGCAGAAATATTTCTTATGTTCTACACTTCTCCAACAATATTAGTTTATTCACAGTTCTCTGCCAGGTATTTCTGGGCCAAGCAAACACCTATTCACACTCGGACAGGGCCAAATTTTTGGGTCTTTTCATAAACTTCAGTGGGCTGTGCCTGAAACCATTTTGAGGTTCTTGTTTTGTATATCTCAAGATAAACTATTGTAGAACCTATACTTTGAGAGTGAAAGCTTTTTAAAAAGGGTTATGTGAAAGAAATATCAATTAACCGCTTTGAATGAAATCACTGTCATGGTCAAAAGAATGGAATATCCTGGTATCTAGCATGCGATCTTTAAAATATCAATCATTATCAAGACTAGATCCCAGCTTTTGTTCATCAAACTCCACCATTTTGCTGGTCTTTATACAGTAAACTGGGCAAGGTGGACCTGGATTATTATCATGTGTCTGTATAGCTTTACATTGAACAAGCATGTTGAGTCACCCTTGCTAAGCTGGAAAGATGGAGGCCTGGATGGGTGACCACATGTGGAAGCAGAGCAGGGACATGGACGTGATTGCCTTAAAGGCCTCTTCCAACTCTAATTCTGTTCTATTGTGCATAGGATATAGAATAAAAAATGAGGGTTGTTGCTCATATTATCAGAGCGGGGACTATTTAATCTGTGGGAATGTCCTAGGACATTCTAATGAGATCACATGCATAGCGGAATCAGATGAAGAAAACAATTGGGTGGAAAGACAGGTAAGATGCAAAAAACATTCAAATTATCTCTGTGTGATTCAGTTGCTGACCACAGTGGCATGGGCTATTGCCATGGGTAACTGGCTCCCACTCTACTGAAGCAATGCCAGGATGGGTTCCAATGGAAGAATATGATTGCTTAGTACTTTGTGGACTGCACTCCATCAGGTTTATTATTTCATCCTACCTTCAGGGTGCAATCCTAGGACATCCCAGGAAGCAGAGGTATCTCAGACCACACGTCTCATGGGCAGACCTCTATCTCCACAGGAGAAGCCCACACTGGGGGTTTCTTCACTATGGCAGCACTACTGCTCCATTGCCACTGATTCCTCAGAGAGACACCAGTTTCTGAGAACCAGAAATATGAGAGAGAGAGAGAGTCTACCAGAAGCAGCAGTGTTGAGATGCCTTCATCCCACTGGGAATTGTGTTTACTATGCATACACCAACAAAATGATGGGGTTTAAGAATCCTTCCAACTGTAAAGAATATTCCTTCAGTTTCTTCACATAGCACCAATAGTACAGTATAGATTATCTAGTAGCTCTCTAAGAAATTTTATGACAGAAACACACCTAAAAAAGGACAGGGAAATCAGAAGAAATCGAGAGCCCCTCTAGTCCAACATTTTACAGGGAGGAAAAAGAAAGATTATACCACATTGGATTATGGGTTTTTTGGGAAACTGAGAAACTAAACACAACGGATTCTAGAACCTTATAAAGAAAGGAAATTGAGTGGTTTCTAAGGGTAGCTTTGTCCATTCAAGACATTAATGAAAAGCCAGATTCCAATTTGAGAATTTCCTGCTTAGGTGACACTCGCTTGCTTTTGATTGTAGATAGATAACCCCAAAAGATGCTTAGCTCTCCAAAATTGATAACAAGGGACTGCAAGCTTATATATACAGAATTTCTAGGGAGTGATCCTACCAATATTCACAAACCCCTGAACTCAGAGGCTTATGAGATTCCAGCGCAGATTGGTGAGAATGGTAGAAGCAATCTTGACCTTCCCATGCTTTCTGCCCTGTATTCAAGCTGGATGGCCAATTTCAGCATGACTCTTTCTGTGTTGGGTGTGAGGTGGTGGTGAGGTGGGACTGGAGCGTAGGATGCCAGCTCTGAGGTCAGCCCTCTGTCACCAGTCTCAGATCCAGGCATGCCAATCATCCTAAGGCCCGTAGATGGTTTTCAGGAGCCGTGGTTTCACTCTCTGTGTCTGATTCCTTCAAAAGTAATTTCATCTGCCAATTCAATGATACACCATTCTGAGTTCTCAGAAGGCTATTTGAAACCTAGCGAGTACAAAGTCATCCATAGTTTTGTACTGAATTTATTTCTTGAGGCTCAGTGTTTATTCAAAGAAATGCTTTGCATGACTTGCCTCTTTTAAATCCCTTGTAGAAGGCCTTTTAAAATACCAGGGCCAAAATGCATTTGGCTTTATTAAAAATATAGTTAGGTTTTCTTTCTCTGCAGATCCTCAGCCATATTGCCTGAATGGGCGGGGAGGTGGGGTGTCCAGAGAGTTTTTAAAGCAGGAGTGGGTAACTTGTGGCCTTCCAGAAGTTTTGGTCTGCAACTTTCTAGCCTGCCTAGCCAATGGTGAAGATTTATGGGCCTTCTAGATGGTTTGGCTTATATTTGAAGGGCCACAAGTTGCCCACTCTTGATCTGTAGGACCCTAAGTTTCCTTGGTCCCCCCAAATGCCCAATGCAGCTTGAAACCTACTTTAGGTCTGGGGCTCGTCCAGTTAATCCCTGCACAACTGGTATCAGTGACAAGGAGAATTAAAAGAAGTGGACAATGATGCTCAAAACAGACAAAGACAAACAAAGAGCAACTTTCCACCCAGGCTGAAACACATCAGCAGGACATTGGAAACTATACCATCGAGTGTTTCCTCCATGGTATTTATTGTTTTATTATTTAGTCTTACTGCTACAGCGATTTCATTGCATGTCCATTGTATTTTTTCTGTTGCTGTGAGCAGAGGGCTTC